GGCTCTCACTTTACTCCAGGAGGCATTCTGATTCAGTGTGAATTTCCTATCTTTCTTTGTTTGTTTTTGGTAACTCAGGACCTTGCACTTGCCAGGCTAGTGTGAGTTTCCTGAAGGATCAGTAAGGAAACTAACATTTGAACTACTTTTTTTGGTTGTTATTCCCTCATCGCCTTTCACTGAGTCACCTAACCAGCTCTTTTCCAAAAAATGGAGTAGAAAAACTATAGAACACCTAACTCGGCCATTTACTGGCTTAAAGCTGCTTAAATTTCAGGGTTACCTTGGGCCCAGTCTTAAGGGATGTTATTGAGCTGAATGAGGTAGATTAGTATCATTCAATTCCTGCCAAACTACCCTTTACATGTAATACAACCAATTTATATAAGATTCCTCCTGGTTATGAATGAGTTAATCAGTGCATACTTGATGGAAATGGTTAAGTTAAATTAACACAGGAGAGAACGTATATTTTTATATTTCTTTTTGAACTAATTTTGTATCTATAAGAAAAGCTATAATAGTAAAAACTCCCATTTAGCCTTCTCACAGATTCTCCATTTGTTAGTATTTTACCATTTGCTTTACTGTTCATTAGGAGAACATGTTAAGGAAATAGCATTGAGTGTTTTGTTTGTTTTTTCTTCAGTAAAGTCAGGCATGCTTTGACATGGTTGCTCATGTTAATCATTGCAGTAATCCAGTACCATATAGGCAATGTTACTGCTTAGGTCAGTTGCCTGTTATTCCACAGCAGATAGATGTCAGCAGTGGGACTTAACCACTGATTGGTTTGGCAGGTCCTTTTTTTTTTTTTTTTTTTACTGTTTTCCTCTACTAGGCCTAGAGACCTACATTCTAGCTCAGATTTTACCACTAACATCAGTATGACCACTGACAATGTATTTTGCGGCTCTTCCTCATATTTCCCTTCTGTAAATGGAACCCAGTGTCCCTGATCCTGACTCACGTAATGTTTTTCTCCTAACTTTAAAGATAAGTTGTCTTCAGTGAAATGTCCTGAACATCTTAACTGTGTCAGTCAGTGTTTGGATAATTCATTTAAGGAAAAAAAGACTGAAGTTTTCCATCAAGTTTAATGTTGAAGTTACTGGAGATGTGAAAATATACCTAGCTACCATATGAAGAGGTGTTCTGTTTTGCAGTGGGAAAAACCAAAAGAGGTTTTTTTTTCTTTTTGGGAAAATAATTCAAGGGTACCAGACTGTTTCCCTAGTAATTATGCTTTTGGGATCATGATTCTTGACTCTTTCTGGCTGGTTGCAGGGTCCTGAGCAGGGTCTCAGAGACCAGTGAAGACTATAGTGAAGTTTGATCTTCAGATTGTCTTCATTTTTTCTTTTTCTTTCTTTCTTTTTTTTTTTTTGAGTATTGGAAATTAAACTCATGACTTTCTGTTTGCAGACAGGCGCTTGTGCCACTGAGCTGTCTCCCCGGTCCTTGTCTTCACTTTATTTGGAGTTGAATTGACTATTTTCCCTTTGTTTTGTCCAGAGGAATCTTTTGGTTGTGATGGAAATAAATCTTCTAGGACATTGAAACAAAATTGTAAATTAAAAAAAAAAATTGTAAATTGCTGGCTCATGAACCACATGTAACTGGCACAGTTTTTTCTTCAATTTTTTTTATTAGTATATTTGTAGCATATAATGTTCACATTCCTCATGTGGAGTTGGTACATGTGCATAAATTCATCTTAATTGTTTTGCATCTCCTTTCCCTACTACCCCTGCTCCATCTCTTGGTCCCTTTTTTGCAAGAGATCCATTTCCTATTACTGATTTAATTTAATTTATTTATTTATTTATTTATTTTGAGATAGGGTTTTGCTATATAGCTCAGGCTGGCCTTGAACTCACTATGTAATACAGGCTGGCCTTGAATTCATGGTGCTCTTGCTACCTCAGCCTGTCAAGCGCTGGGACTACAGGCATGTGCAACCATGTCCAGGTTCAATTCTTTTTTTGGTACCAGGATCGAACTCAGGACCTTCCACTTTCCAAGCAGGCACTTATGGGAAGCACCTTCTTTTTTTTTTTTTTGTATCTTAGGGAAGGGTCTACAGGGTGTTCAGGGTGTCACTACTAGATCAGACTCATAGTGATTCGCATGTTTACAGCCTCCCAAGAGCTGGATTATAGGCTCGTACCACCAAGCCCAGTCGCAATTGCCATCTCAGTGTGCCCCGGGGGGTGGGGCCGGCACAGCAGGCCGGGGATCAAACCCCCTGCCACTGTGCCTGGTTGCAGACGCTTTAATCTGCTGAGGTATTTGGCCAGCCCTATGCTTCATCTTTTATTCTGCTCTTTATATTTGGATTTCTTATATAAGAAAGACCATGTAACTTTCTTATATAACAAAGTCTATATAAGAAAGACTTTCTAACTATGTATAGAAAGACTTGTGTGTCTCATTTATTGTTCTTAACATTATGGTCTCAAATGCAACCATTTACCTACAATGCCTCAATTATATTCTTCTGAAATGAAAAAACCTACAAATGGCCAATACATACATGAAAAAATATTCAACACTGCTGGTTATCAGAAAAATACTAATGGCAAAGTATTACTCCCTTCTATATAAATACTAACCTGGTGATGGATATACAGGCTGCTTCTAAGACTCAGCTACTATGAATTGTGTTAAGTACATGAGTGTGTATATGTCACTGTAATTAGATGTTTTTAACTCTTTTAGGAAGATACCTAGAAAGAGGGAGTAGCTGTATCAAATGGAAGTTCTTGGTTTTCTTTTTTAGGTTTTTTTTTTAGAATTTCTCTGCTGATTTCCATAGTGGTTGTACTAGTTTACATTCTCACCAACGATGTAGCAGGGTTCCTTTTTTTCGTATAGCCTCTGCTGCATTTGTTATTACTGTATTTGATATCTTGAAGATAGACATCCTTCAGGAGTTACATGTAGCCTGAGTGTTGTTTCAGTTTTTATTTCTCTGATGACCAACAGTGTTGAATATTTTTTCATGTATGTATTGACCATTTGTACTTTTTTTCTTCAGTTTCTCAATTTTTGATTGGATCATTCATTTGGGGGGGTTGTATAAAGAACTTAAAAAAGATACTGATTCTCTGTCTGAAGAAGAGCTGCCCCTGAATTTTTTCCTATTCTTAGGTTGTTTCTGGGCTGGGGAGATAGCTCAGTAGAATAAGTGCTTGCCTGGCAAGCACAAGGGCCTGAGTTCAATCCCTGGTTCTGCAAAAAAAAAAAAAAAAAAAAAAGAACAAAACAAAAAAACATAAGTTGTTTCTTCATTCTGTGGTTATTCCTTTTGTTGTGCAGAAGCTTTTTACTTTGCTATGATCCTGTTTCTTGATTCTTGATGTTATTGCTTGTGCCATTGGGGTTCTATTCATAAAATCCTTACTTACTTTGTGGCTTCAAGAGTTTTACCTACTTTATCATCTAGCAGGCTATTTCTGTTTTAACATTTAGATCTTTGATCTATTTTGATTTTAGTTTAGTACATGGTGAAAGATATGATTGTAGATTCAGTCTTCTCCATATGGATAGTCAGTTTCTTCAGCACTGTTTGTTTGTTTGTTTGTTTATTTATTTATTTATTTATTGCAGCTCAGCCCACCTTGAGGGCGGGGCTGGCGCAGCATGTGGTGTCAGGAATTGAACCATGGTCCCCTGCACCTGCCTAAGCTTGCCTAAGCAGGCGCTTTAGACTGCTGAGCTATCTCACTGGCCTTTTATTTAATTTTATTTTATTTAATTTAATTTAATTTTATTTTTTATTTTAGAGTAGGGACATTTATGAGGAATAATAATAGCTCTTGGGAGACAAGAGGGGTCCCCAGGGGGCTGCCAATGTGCCCTCTTCTGAAAAGAAGTTTTATAGAACAAAATCATGAGGTGGGTACAATGTGGATCAAGGATTATATTAATGAATAAGATTTTAAGCACCATTTATTAAAGATGCTGTCTAAGAGAGGTTGAAGGGGGAGGGTAGGGGAATGGAAAAAAAATCAAGTTATATCATGTATGGGTCAAATTCTCCATGATGAATATGATCATTATACAAATCTAAAATGTGCCAATAAAATCTGATTTTAAAAAAGATGCTATCTTACAAATGTATTTTTGGCTTGCTGAATTTTATTTTATTTTTCATTAGTAATTCATTTAAAAGCCAAAGGATTTCACAAAAAACAAAACAAAAACAAAAAACAAAAAAAACAAAAACAAACCCAGATTTGTTTCCAGTTTGGACCTACATTGAAGCTTTGGCTAGAATTAGAAAAAAAAAAAAGCAGAAAAAAATGGGGCCGGGGAGATGGCTCAGTGGAATAAGTGCTTCCCTGGCAAGCGCAAAGGCCCGAGTTCAATCCCTGGTTCCGCAAAAAAAAAAAAGTAGAATTAGAGAGTAATAGTAATAGGTTGCAACTGTTTCTACTTCATGTATGGTCTCTGTAGACATTTGAATTTTCAGCCTCAAACCTAAAACTTGAACTCCAGTTTGAAAGCTCATGAAGTACAATTGATGAGCTAAATAGTGGTGGGTTTTCTTGGTTATCAAAGGAGTGTCCTGCTGTACTGAGTAAATAGAAAAATAGCTCATAAAATGACAGGATTTCTTCAAAATCACTTCTCTCTGCTCCTGTCAGAATTTCATTTACAGCATTGTGGAACCATAGTGGCTTGTAAACTTCAGAGAGATGCAGCCATCTTCCTTTACATTCTACATACTTCTCATTCATTGCTTAATTCTCTGTAAACCAGCAGAGGGTGCTGTCCACTCACTGAGCCTTCTGTCGTCCTGGCTCAGCTGAGAGCCAGCTGTTGGGCATGTGCCCTGGGTCTTTATGAAAGTTTGGGCATGTCCTTTTGGTTCCCATCCCCAGTGCCCACCCCTTAGGCCCTGGCCAGGTTATTGTGTCACTGGGGACTCTGTTCAGTAACACAGGAAACTGGGGAAAGTTTAATTGTTTTCTCCTCTCCTTTTTCCCATGCAGCTGAACAAAAGGTTCATCCTCAGTTTTCTCCATGCCCATGGGAAGCTGTTTACCCGGATTGGGTAAGTGTGCAGGATGTTTATTTTATTTTCCTACATTACAAGTCATTTTGGAATTTAATATTGTTAGCAACTAGACTGTGTTTGTAACTGAGGGCACAGGGTGTGAATTCTTAAAGGTCTCCACCTTCTCTTCCTTTTACTCTCTCTCCTGCTCTGTTCATGAGATTTAGGAAGTATTTCTGTCTCTTTTTTTTTCCACCTTTACTAGACACTCCTCCCCCTCTTTAAGAGCTGTCTTTTCCCAGCCCCCTCCCCTAGTTTTCCTATAGCCTTCTCTTTACTCTGCCTTCTGCTTTAGCCCCTAGTGAGCTCATGCAAGCAATCATGCTACATCACTGGGTACAGCTGCCAGGGGTCCTCCTTGGAGAAAAATTGTCCTCTAATTTTCCTCTGGGAGAAAAACGTTTTCTTTCCTTCCTGTTCTTTGGCTTATACCCCTGCCTTTTGTGCAGTTTCCTATACCATGTCAGTAATCTTAGTACATACAAGACTTTTATGGTTTGACCATCCTCTGTGGGTTTATATACAAATCTCAGGAAAAATAATGTGTGCAAAACCTTCTTACCTTGTCCTGGGGATATAGCTCAGTGGCATAGTGCCTGCCTGGCAAGTGCAAGGTCCTGAGTTGGAGTCCAGGTACCACCACCCACCCCCACTACCTTGTAAGTCCCTGCAAAGAGATTGAGTTTTGAGTATTCCTTTTTTTTTTTTTTTTTTTGCGGTACTGGACATTGAACTCAGGACCCTACGCTTTCTAGGCAAGTGCTTATTTTACTGAGCTATCTCCCCGGCCCTTGAGTATTCATTTGGTAGGTCAGAGTTCTTCCTCACGGTGTAAAACTTGTGAATATAGCCTGATTTAATGCCTTCACAAAGCAGATATGTACTGAACATCTTTCATGTGGGTCTTTCCTGAGTACAGAACAGTGAACAAAAAGGTTGCCGTATTCCCAGAGAGGTCTTTTGGATTTTAATATTTTCTGAATTGAAGTTTTATTGTGAGCTGTCTTTGGAGGTGATTTGTTTTTATTATAAACCCTCCAGGTACTGTCAGTGCTTCCCTTTCACTTTCTGTCATAATGCTCTAAGTTTGTCTATAATACTCTAGAAAGTTTTTTTAGTCGGAATAGGAACTATGTCAGTTTCCACATACTTTGTATTTTAACTCTTTTGAGAGGTTGAAATGCTTTGACCTACTTGAAGAAACACTGCCCCATGGATAGTGAACTAGAAAGTATGATTAATATGTATTCATTTGGCATCAGCCTGAGCAAGAGTGACAGTAATGGCGATTGTAAGGTATGCTTGATCTTAAAATGACTTGGGAAAATTGGAAAAGTGCCCAAAGATGAATGTCTATCAATAGAAATAAGTTTTAAATAATTCACTTAGGAAAGATATAGATGTATTACTAGCTCCCATGTCCCTACTTCTGTCTCTTCTATCAATGTAAGCTCCACTGTGACTCTAGTTTTTACATCATGATATTGTATTTTGAGTGCTGGGCATATATAGTAGGTTCTCAGTTAATATTTGTTGTATGAGTGTGTGATTCATTATAAGAAGTGCATTGTGGGGGATGGGGAGATGGTTCAGTAGAATAAGTGCTTGCTTGGCCAGCACAAGGGCCAGGTTCAATCCCCGGATCTGCCAAAAAAAAAAAAAAAAAAAAAAAGTGCATTGTGAAGATTATAGAGAAGGTTCTGGTACTCTAATAAAGTTATACCAGAGCCACACTGATCACTAATAAATAATGAAAAGCTGCAGTTTCAGAACAAGTAGGATGAAACTGATATCTATAAGATTGTATTTAAAATAAAACATCACAGTAGGAAATACCATTTTACTGTACTTAAATAACAGTTGATGGAAGTCTCACTAATCTATTTTAGTTTTCATTTTCTTCTCTCATTCTTTTCTGAATACTTTTTCTCCTTTTTCCTTTTTGTTCTGTTTCTTCTTTATATTTTCCTATACCAGGTTCATCTAAGTCACATTTTTTTTCAACTTCAGTACTATTAAGCTGGGTTTTTTTTTTTTGTTATTGTTGTTGTTTTTGTTTTCCTTTTGTAATGCTGTGAATTGAACTTAGGTTAAAAACATTCTGCCAGGGCCAGCCTGAAGTGGACTAAAGTGTCTGCTTAGATAGAGCGCAATGGCTAGGGTCCAATCCCTGGCATGCTGTGCCAGCACTGAGACAGCAATTGAGACTGGTCATGGTGGCATGCACCTGTAATCCCAGCACTTGGGATACTGAAACCAGGAAAATCACTATGAGTCTGCTCTATGTAGTAATACCCTGTAGACTCTATAGACCCTACACTAAATACAGAAAAAAAACCCACTCTGCCACCAAGTCATTCTGCCAGTCCTGAGTGGGGCAATTCTTTGCTGAGGGAGTTGTCCAGTGTATTGTAGGATTTAGCGCTATTTGGTTTCTCTCCACTGAAGTCAGTAGCATACTTTACCTCTCAAGTCATGATAACTAAAAATGTCTCCAGACATGTCAGATGTTTAGTGGGGAGCAAATTTGCCCCTAATTGAGAACTGCTGTTTATTGTGCTATTAGAGGCTTTTGGAACTGAAAAACTTACGAATCTTATTTCAGGTTGTAAATATATTTAGGATATATTTATTTATTGTGGATTTTTTTTTTTCCAGAGCCGGGGATTGAACTCAGGCCCTTGAGCTTGCCAGGCAAGCACTTATTCAACTGAGCTATTTTCCCAGCCCCTGTTGTGGACTTTTTTGAGACAGGGTCAGTGTCAGTGATGGCAAACCTTTTAGAACTTTTAATGATAACAAACAGCCCACTGCAGCATGCATGGCTTAGGTTCACTACTACTGGTCTGTGTAGTTCAGTCTGGCCTTGAATTTGCAGCACTCTTCCTGTCTTAGCCTCCCAAATCCTGGGATTATAGTCATGTGCCACCATGTCTGGTTAAGATAAGTTTTTATCAGGTTGTGTTAATTAAACTTTTATTCCCCCCACCCAACTTAAATTTCTTGTATTTAAGGCCTGGGGATAAAGCTCAGCAGCGTAACAGCCTGCCTGACAAGTGCAAGGTCCTGGTTCAATCCCCAGTACTGCAAAATAAAATAAAATATTCTCATATTTAAGCACATATATTTTGGAAGACATTTGGGAAAGGGCCACAATATTGTAACAATTAGAAAGCTGGAAAATGAGATCTGGAAGGAAAAATTAATCTTAAACCCTTCTGGTGGGGATGTAGTTTAGTGGCAGAATGCTTGCCTAGCATGTTTGAGGCCCTGGTTTTGATCCCCACTCATGCCAAAAAAATAAATAAATAAATAAATTAGTGTGTGCTGTATTTAAATATAGAGGAGTCATAACCAGACAATTTTTAATGGGATGACAGTAACAGAAGTGGTGCAACTGGAGGGATGTGGGTTAGGTGTAAGAAAATTGTGTAGAGAATAGATGTTTTGGGAATTTCTTGCCCTGGAGGCCTTGAAAAAATAATAGGTTATCTCATTTGTCTGGATTATTTTTTAGGATCGCTTTCATTTCTTTTCTTTTTTTTGTGGAACCAGGGATTGAACTCAGGCCCTTGAGCTTGCCAGGCAAGCACTTATTCTATTGAGCCGTCTCCCTGGCCCCTTCTTTCATTTTTATATAATATATTTTGTTATCAAAAAGACAAAGGCAGACTATTTTTTACTTTTTTTTTGTGGAACCGGGGATTGAACTCAGGCCCTTGCACTTGCCAGGGAAGTGCTTATTCCACTGAGCCATCTCCCCGGCCCCTATTTTTTACTTTTATAAAATAAATTATTGTAGTTTTCCGGGAGGAAAATATGTTTCTATTCTAAGCATACTTTAGGTCCTGGATGACTATTCATTCCTCTTATGCTTTCTTGGAGGTAAAAGAGAATTGAGCCCCGAATTTATTCAGGAGGCAGAAACAGTGATAACATTTGTATTGTTAAAAAAAGAAAAAAATGTGTATAAGCCTGTAAGACTAGAAAAACAGTGAGCCCAAGCCACACACAACATCGTGGCCTCTTGCCTAATTACCAAGAAGATGTGAAATGTGGGAGGCGTTGAAAACAAATTAAGACTGAGAGAATTGTAATGGAGAGCAGCTGAAGGCACATCACTGTCCCGCCTGCCTTTTGAGAAAAGTCCTGTAGTTGTTCCCCTGCCCCTGGTGTTCCAGGATACATCAGTGTATACTTGAATGCCTACTGTGTGTAAGACTTCGGCTGAGCATCAGCAGACAAGAGGTTCAGGGCTTTAATGAGATCAAGTGTCAGAGTTTTTCTCCACTTATTGGTTATAAGACCTTGAGAATAAACAAGAGCTTCTGTGGGCTTCAGTTTCCTTATCAGTGGTCTAATGCTTGATCTCTGAGATGTGTTCTAGTTCTTATGTTTTCTCTTATTTTCATCCTGTCATATGGCTTAATTTTTTGCTCTATTTAACTCCCAGATTGATCTTTTTCTCAGTTAGGAAACTGATTTTTTTCTACAGATAATGTTGTGTAGCCCGGCTCTGTTCCTTACCACCAGAGGGGTTGAGTCCTGCCCTTTTATTCACTGTCTGAGTCATTCTTGAGTCTGGGTCTTAGAGTTGTTTGAAAGATTGATTTCTTGAAACTGCCATGCAGATGAGACAAGGTGTCTCTAGAGATCACTTCACAAGGCAGCTGCTTCAGTCAGTGAGTGAATGCATATCCTGATAATCGAATCTTCCGAGGTTTTAGATTCAGGATGGAATCCTCTTGGATCCAGAAAGAGGAGATGGTTGGGGTGTCAGGTAATTCCTGATAGATGCTTTCCTGATGAGAGACAAAGCAGATTTGCCCTTGGCTTTCACTGAGAGGGTCGAGAACCTGGCAGCTTGTAGACTGTTGATTCATGACAATTAGAATAATTTTGCTTCCTCATTTTGCCTTGATTAAAGGCAATAGTTTCACTTTAGTTTTTATTTGCTTTTGCTTGATCATGCAATTTGCATAGCTTCAAGTCTCTTGGAATTCAATGCCTGATATATTTATTTTGGACTTTGAATTTTTAAAAATAAAATGTTTATGTCTTGATTTATTTTTAAAATTAACAAGTGTTTTTAAATACAAAAGGAAGTATTCATTGTGGGGAAAATCATTTTCTGTATTATGTAGTGCTCATTATAAGATCTTTAGGAAACTTAGCCAGAAGAAATAAAGATTTATTCTTATTATCCATAGATAACTATCCTCCTTTAACATTTGTTGTATGATTTTTGAGTATCTCATACTTCTTATAAATAAGTGTCTAAAAAGAAAAGTAAAAAAATAAATAGGTGTCTAAAGTGCTCATATTAAATTGTTTTACAACTATTTTTATTTATTATATGTTCAAATTCCTCTGAAGTGATTAAAAAATGTAGTTCCATTTTTTTTAAAAAAATAGTTCTCAGTGTGTGAATATGCCACCCTAGTCGTCTCTTACTGTTGGGTATTTTAGGTTGCCTTCAAGTTTTTACTGTTATGAATCTCTCTCTTCTTCCTCTTCTTCCCTTTGTTGCTGCTGCTGCTTCAGTTTTTCATTCTTGGCTTGAATTTTGTAATTATTACCTAAGCAGCAATCCAAAAATCATTATAAAAATATAACATTACAGATAAGGGTAACATTTCTTTCAGCTCTGCCCTAACTCCTATGCACTCCAGAATAGTAACTCTAGATATATATGTGTGTATATATATATATATATATATATTTATTTATTTATTTATTTATTTATTTATTTTTAGCGGAACTGGGGACTGAACTCAGACCCTTGCGCTTGCCAGGGAAGCGCTTATTCCACTGAGCCATCTCCCCGGCCTCATATATGTATTCTTAAAGACTTCTTAAATGTCTTTGCGTATGTGTCAGTAAAAATATAATCTTACTTTGTACTTTTTGTTAAATATAAATTTTATACTATTATAGCCTCAGATTTTGTAGAATTTTCTTTCTGTGATATGGGGTGGGGCAAAGATTATTTCTCAAAGAGAAAGACACAAAACTATTCATAGGTAGTCTCGAGCCAAAATCAGACAGGATTTTGGTTACAAATCTGGGAAGCAGAAACCTTGTTATGAAGCTCTGAATAGGAGACTTATCTATGCTTCCCTCAGTTATTGCTATAAAAAACTGATTCTCTCTGGATATATCCATCTTCCCTTATATCTTGTATGTGAAGTTACTCTTATGAATTTGATTTTTTTATCCTTTGTTTTAATCATATTGTACTAGTTCAGAGGTGAAGTGAGGATTTTAAGAACTTAAAAAAAAAGTGTACATTAAACATGTGGTCCTTTGAGACTTTAGTTTGATCCCAGAGTATGTTAATGGAGCAATTTCAATTCCAATCCCAGGAAAGGCTTCCTTAGATACAGCTTCGAAACAAGACTGTCCCACATGACGCTCAGTCCTGTTGTTCTTTGCTGGCTCTCAAATGCCTTTCAACACAGAGACACATGGCTCTGAAACTTGCCTAGTGTGGTGCTTTTCAAGCAGAGTGAACTCTGCTCTTCTTGTAATGAGAAGTGCTAGTCCCCCTCCCCACCTCCGACAAGAAAGAGTGCTGCACAGTGTCAGGATTTAAAATGAAACCTTTGTTATAGCCCATGGGGAAAAATGGATGCAGTCCAGCCCCAAACATATCCCTCTCTGCCATTCCAAATCTACCAAAAGTTTTAGTGGCTCTGAAACTTTTTAGAGGGAAAAAAAAGAGTATGTTTAGTTTTGTTTTGGAGGAGGGCACTTGAAATGGCATGTGGAGGGAAAAAAGCAAATGTATGGCATGTTTTGTGCCAATGAAAATGAGGACAGCTCAGCAGAGAAGGGAACTGGAATGTAAACTGTAATTGACCCATAGCTGTGGCATGACTTCTGGGCACCAAAGGGTCAGCAAGGGGAGTTGCCATCCAAGGGCAAGGAATGAAGATTGTCAAGATTCCAGAAAGCTCTAGGGTTTTCTTGTCTGAGGAGAGTATAGTAACTCAGTGGGGAAAGGGCCAAAATTAGGGTGGAACTAATAGGACCTTTCTCTAGTACTTGAAACTATTAGTGTCTTTTGAGAAGGATTTGCTTCTCTGTGGCTTTCCAGAAGCTATTTATTAGTCCAGCCTAGCATTATTCCCCACCGACCTCTCAGAGCACCACAAGCAGTTTGGTTGGGGGAGTGGGATAAAAGATACTCTGCTGACCATGAATTGTTCAGTGTAGCCATAAGGCCTATGTGCCTGGTTTCTCTCTCCAGCACCAAGTTTGAATTTGCTTTTTTTTTTTTTTTCCAGAGGACTTGAGCTGTGGTTTGTTCCTGTTGCCAAAGGAGCTCCAGGCATCCACCACTGTTTAGGATCCAGTGGCTGCATTTGGCAAGCAGTGATTTGAATGACCTCTCCTTAGGAGCCCTAGGTCACTGGCTGGATTTCTGCCTCCCTACATTACAGGCTCTTCCTGTATTGGGAGTGGCAGTTGGCCAGGGCATTATATTTCCACTGGCCTGAAAACATACAGACCCTGATGAGCAGAGGCTTGAGAGAGGGAGGAGGACAACAACACAGAAAAGACTGAAATAGATCATTAGGGCCCTAGGTCTTTAGGGTTTTTCAAGGGGTACCTTGGGATCTTCAGGTAGGCCAGTCAGTGTAAGAAGACAACAGGAAACAATACATAGTTTCCTGAAGTAAAGCATGTGTAAAGAATCTTTAGCTTTATGACTCCTTTTACTGAGTATAACTTTCATAGCAGAGAATTTAGTGAATATGTAGTATTAGAACTTAAAGAAAGTTTGTTCACTACTTAGAAAAACATTGTTTCAGAGAGAAATTTTTTTGTCAGCTTGAATTCAGTTATTGCCAGGGGTTAGGAAATAGCATACCAAGGCATAATAACTCATAGCAATTTACCCAAGAATTGAGTTGTTTCCATCTCTGAACCCTGAATATTTTGTTTTTCTTAAGTCTGTTCAGTTTGCAGGATACAGAATGATTTGTGAAAGTAGCAAAGTCTTATGCATTAGTTGTCTACCTTATGGTGGGCGTGTGTAGGGGGAGTGACTCACCAAGTGCTCTTGGGGAATGTGCCTCACTGATGAGCTGCTTGTATATGCAGGATGGAGACATTCCCTGCAGTGGCTGAGAAGGTCCTCAAGGAGTTCCAGGTGTTGCTGCAATATAGCCCATCTCCTATTGGAAGTACCCGCATGCTGCAGCTTATGACTATCAACATGTTTGCTGTACATAATTCCCAGTTGAAAGGTAAGGAATGTTCAGTTACTTCATCTACACAGAGAGGTCAATCTAGTTCTTACCACTGCTTTCTTATCACCATCCCTAGCCCCCAAACACATACATGCTGCCCTCCCCAACATTGCCTTTCAGAGCTTTACTCTCTGAAATATGTAAGACTCTTTAATGCTTGTGTGAGATGGAAGGAGGGAATCGTGGTGGAGCTTAATTTGCAGACCTGGAGATGCTGTTGCACATCTGCCCATGCTAAAGGCAGCAGCAAGGCTTCTTGGAGGCTGCAGACCCAGAGCCTCTCCCAAGGGAGAGGCATTGCTGAAATGTTTCATTGCAGAGACCATACGCTTGGCAAGGATTGGGAATAGCTGTTTTTGGACTCATGTACCCTGTTTGTTCAATATGGAAAAGTCTAGTTCCCTATGGGATATCCCTGTGGGAGGCTGCCAGAGAGTAAAAACAGAGAATTGATGAGCTTTGGTGATTCAAATCTGGAAGCACAAAAACCACCAGGCCCAGAATTTGGCTAGTATACTGGTGTGCATTCTGAAATGCTTTTCTGAACAATCTTTGGGAATTTTGGTGGAAATGGGGAAGGAGAGGAGGGAAGGACAGATTGGCAGGATTTTTTAATGTTCTAATAACCAACCAGATCCATATTACCAGAATCTCTTCCCTTCCTTTCACTCCACTTTAAAGCATGTAACACATGCTGCCAAGGAGTTATTTCAGAGGATTGGCATAGACTGTTTGGTTTCAGAGATAGAAGGTTATTATCTGAAATGCTAGGAAGTGGGAATTACCCTGTGGAAAAGCAGATCTGATGTTTCTGGAGAGAGTACCACTGCTTTGCTTGTGGCATCTTTTCTTAAGGCTTTCTCTCACCCTGAAGTTGATTTATTTCTCTTTGTATTTGTGTTGGGATATTATGTTCAACTTTCTAGTGGTGGGGAATTCCTACCCTGATGAGCAAGAAGCCACGCTTTCCCTGAAAACAAGGCTTCTCCTTGGGCCTGACAAGATTCTTAGCTAGGCAGCCTGGGTTTTAGTTGCATCTGATTCTGGGGGGACTTTATTCTCTCAGGCTGCCCACTGTAGCGTTTATAATTTCCAGCAGAAGGCAAGCTGCAGAGGCTTAGTAGCCTCTTTGAACTTGGCTACTTACTCTTGAGATGGCTATTTGTTTAATCAGCAGTAGGGAAACATGAAGGGCAACACTAATTTCCAGGAAAGGAGAAATGCAGTTTTTTTTGAAAGTGCCACCTTGATGAGGCTGTGAGGTTCAAAGGGAGGGAGATTGTGTTACCAAGAACAAAGCTCATTGAACTCTGGAAATGGGACATCCTAGGCACCCTACTATTCATTTTTCTCCTTTGTACTAAAACAAACTACTGAGTTTGGGAATTTTGGTGGAGCTGCAGCCTATGCTGAGGTATAGTTCTGCGTAGGATGACCTTCAGCTTTACTGATAAGGGCCTATAGCTTTTGCCTGTGAAGCATCTGTTTTCAGCCACTTCACCATAAAAAGAATACCTGGGCTTCTTCATAGGCCACAAGTGAGTCCTTTTCTTGTAGCTATTGTTAAGTGAACTTAAGAAAATATGGGTGGAAGAAGGAAGGTGAGTATAGACAAGGAAATAAGTAGTTCTCCATGTGACATGTGAAAGTCTGTTCTTATTTCTGACCTTGCCCTAACTTACCTCCATGAGGTAAAAGGAGTCCAAGCTGAGGTGGTCAGAGGCTCCAAGGGCTTTCCAGAGAAAAACAGTCCAGGCCACAGGATATAGCACTCAACTAGGACACAGAGCTCTGTGGACGTGTTGCCAAGTACCCGGTGTGCAGCTGAGGCGGCTGTCCAGACCCCACTGTGTGGGCTGCCATCGGGAGAGGGGTGAGCAGAGCACTCAGCAGGGTTGGTTGGTGGGAAGATGCACTTTTCCATTTCCCAGCACATGAGTCATCATCTCTGGGCCCCTGTGCTGTGCTTGCACGGACAGTGGCAAGAAGGGGGTGTTGTGGCTGAGTAGGAGCATCTGTGCCGGGGTAGAAAGGGAAGGGGGTTGGGGAAAGGGTAAAGATTTAAATCCTTCACTAATCAGCAGCAGTTTGAATCACATTTTTATGAGTAAGGAAGTGATAAATCAGCCCTGCATGTTTGGTCCCCAGATCTCATCAGCCTGTGCCCTTCTAAAGGTTTCCCTCTGGGCCAGTCTGCATGTTGTCAAAGTCGCCACCCAGCCACAGGTCCCTGGCTGTCTGAAACCAGGAAGTAAGACAATGCTGCCTGGCCTTCCCGAGTGCTTAGGGTCTATGGTCATTTGGCAGTCACTGCAAGTTACAGAACATCTGGGCCATCATTTTTCTTTCCATTTCTTCTTGGACATGTCCTTCTGGGTGGGTGTTTGCATATGTCAGTTCCTGGAATCTGTGAAGGAGAGCATTCCAGCCTGAAGCAGAGGTGATCTTACAGCCCACATGGTAGACCAGATCTTTAGTCTGTGCCTGAGGCTTCACCATAACTGGTAGTCAGGAATATAGTTTGGAATGCAAAAGAAAAGTCTTTACTTAAAAAGAATGTCTTTTGCTGATACCCATAATACTTACAGAATCATTCAGTTTTTTGTGTTCAGTGCTACCCTTTTGTAACTGCTATTTTTTTTTTTTTCACAATATCAGTAGTCCAGAATAGAAATCACATTGCTACTAACACTTTACTGTGATTACTTTTCAGATATACTTTCTTTGTGGACATAGGGCTGGTTGCTGCAAAAGGAAAAATGGAAGAAAAAGCTTAAATGGTGGGGAGAGAAAATGTGATAGAGGTAGAGATGATGAGATCACATTCACTCCTTTTCTACACATAGAGAAAAATAAATTATGTCATATGGTTTAACCAGTTAAGCTTTGAGGTTTCAACAGTAATCTTAAAACTCAGAGATTCACAGGGCCAGGGAGATAGCTCAGTAGAATAAGTGCTTGCCTGGCAAAACTCAGAGATTCAGGACTGCTAGAGAGACTTACATTACTTATATGTGCACTATTCAGAATCTTACTTCAGTAAGCTGTAAATCTGAAATTCTAATATTCTGCACTAAGGTGATTGGGAACTAATAAATTTCAGGAACAAGATTAGAGATGTTTGGGGCTCTAGCATAGTACTGGTATTTATTATGCATTGAATAAGTATTTATTGAATGCATGGATGAAGAAGGCAGTGGCTCTGGGAGGGCCACTTCATTAAGCAGTGTGTTCCCTACCTAACTTACGTCCAACACTAGTGATGAGATAGTTGGTTCCCAGAGTGATGTCACAGTTGGTAATGGCTCTACAACATTTTGAGCCTGAAAAGGACCTCTGTGTGTTTTAGTATTTATTTTCAATAGTCATCTGATTGGTTGATGTCATGCTGTTGGGTGAACTGTTCATCTAAACCACAAGTACTCCCAAGAATTTTAATTTTTTAAATTCTGTAATTTAAGGAAATAAAACCCTAGTTTCTTGATGAATAATTAAAGCAGTATTTGTAGTAGGCATCACTGAAACCCCATTGCATCCCCCATCTGTGCCCAATTTGCTCCAATCTAGCCTTTCTCTCCCCTCCCCCTCTTGCTCTCTCTTCTTAAAAAATATGTTTTATAATTTTTGGAATCAAAACCATCTCAGGCACACACTGTTTTATTTTACTTTATTATTGGATTATACTTCCTATAAATCATTGGATGTTACTCATTGGCCACCACAGGAATAACTTCCCTTTTCTGTGCCATGGCCTCCTTTTTTCTCTACTAGTTTGTAGAGCATGTCTCCATTTTAACCTTGCAGAAAAAGCCCTGGGGCAGCAAGAGGGCACCCACGAGACACTTCTGATGTGTATTGTTGGTGTTGCCTGCTGTGAGGGAACATTTGGGGGTAAGAATTAGGCTGGCTTTCTTTTCATGATCATTTATAGTTGTTTTTGTGTTGTTGGTAAACCTGAGTTATAGGCAGTGCCACATGTGTGTCCTTGGAGAGGTAAAGAGCCATAGCTGTCCAATAGTACTAATAGAGCTTTAACCTTTTTCTGTGCCATTATTGCATATGAAGTTGGCTGTAGCTGAGGAGTTTAGTTTACAACCAGAATTTGTCTTCTAGCATATAGCAGTTCACTCCCTTGTGATGATGCTCCCTTCTCTTATACCCTAGCAGAATGTATGAAGTACCTAATCTTCAGCTTGTTGTAACAGTTGTACAGAAAATCCACCTTTCCATAATGGGTTAGGCTTAAATTTAGCTGTGTAAACTTTCCCTCTCATTTCTTCTTCTTTGTCTCTGGTAGACGAAATCCTTGGACTTTTCTCCACAAGTATCCATCTATGAGTCAATGCTACTTAACTTTCATTTTGAATACTCATCAGGTTAGAGAAAATAAGAGAGAGTGCCTTCTTGGCCAAGTTTTGTGAGAAATAGATGTACAGGTCAGAATAGGTTAGGCTTTTGAAGGTGCAGGCCAGAAAGCTTTGTCCTCAGTTGCTCAGCACAGACTTCTTCCCTTCGTGCAGTATGTCTGTGGATCTTCTTCCTGGAAAGAAAAGGTAAAAGAAATGTATCAGGGGTCCTGCCTGTCTTCCCAGCTATGAGTTCTAGCATCCTTCTTGTTTTTTAGAATGTATCTGAAGAATAAGAAGCATCATGAAAACCTAAAGGAATGAGAATATTAAGTCATACCAATATAATTAAGCCCCTTATTATATTGGTTGAAGAAATGGCCTTCATTTTCTCCCAAGATAACAGTGTAATCTGGGCATGGTGGCACATGAGCCAAGAGAATCTCCATGAGTTCAAAGCCAATCTGGGCTACATAGTGAGACCCTGTCTCCAAAAAAGAAAACAACCAAGATAACAACATGGTTTGGTGTCCATGGTTAGTTGTTAGGTACCTAGTAGTTATTGTGAGCTCTATATTTTCTTTCTATTGCTATTTTACTCCTTCTCAATTTGATTTTTCCTCCTCTAGAATGGATTTATGTTGAAGTTGT